TATGTTGCTAATGTGGTCAGGTGTAAACAAATCGGAAATACAGGTCCGAATGTTACACAAAAAACGATTTGGATAGGAGTAAACTAGGAAGGAACTTTTTTTAAAAATTTAGAGAGTAAAAAAGAAAGTTTTGATGTTTTGAGTCCTAGAATAATCAATTTTAGGTTAAATTTGATATACTATAGCTTGTTTTGAAGCCAGAGATGAGCTCTGCAAATTCTATTATGAGGTTTCAGTATATTATTAAGCCTAGTTTGCCAAGAAGGGCAAAACTTTGGGGAGAGAACAGAGTTTTGTCCATCTGTCTTTGTAAATTGAATATCTCGAGAACGATAAGAGATAAAGACTTGAAACTTCACAGATATATGTAAAAATGGTAGCTGAACAATTGTTATTAAGTGACTAAAGGTTGTTAACTTAATAAAATTTTGTATAAATTGAGAGAAAGTAAAAAATATTTTGGGCGAAATTTTGTGTACAGGTGATAAGCAGAAAGAGTTATATCACTAATGATTTTCATTTTCATTATAAGTAATAGTTTTTATAAATTCAACAATAACTGAATTACGTTTAGAAAGCCAATTTAAAGGTGTATATAATAATAAATTTTCTAAACTAAATCTGTCTTGATTATTAATTAAACTTATTAAATCATCATAAAAATTTTTTCTTTCTTTTTAAGCTATTTCTTTAATATATTTAATTTATATTTGTTGATTATTTAAATTAAAATTAATTATTTCTTTTAATTAATTATTTTTAGCTATTAATTGATTATTTTCAGCTATTAATTGACTATTTTTAGCTTCTAATTTATTATTTTTAGCTTCTAATCCTTTAATTATATTAATATAATATAATCTTTGTTATTCAGATTCATTTAATTTATTTGTAATGTTTTCTAATTGTTGGTTAATATCATCATAATTATCATTTATAGAAGTTGCAAAATTTAAAATTTTTTGTAATTTTTCAATAAAATTATCATTTCGAATAATCTGATTATAATACTTTTCATAAACAATATATTCATTTAAAAATTCAATTATATTGTTTAATTCTGAATAATATTTAACTAAAAGATCTAATTTTTGTATAACTTTTGGTTCTGTTGCATTTCGTAATCTTTGATTTTCTTTAGTTTCACATTCAATTAATTAAAGATCAGTATTTTTATATATTGCTACTAACTTTTTAAACAAACATTTTATATTTGCTGTTTCTGAAATATTATCTTCTGCTATATTTGTTACTTCTATTATTTCTGTTGTTTCTGTTATTTCCATTGTTTCTATTATTTATATTAATTAAAAATTTAATAAAAGTTATTTTAATAAATTTATTAAAAAAATTTAAATTATATTATAATAAAATTTACTAAAAACTAGCAAGCTGTAGCAAATTTTAAGACATGAATATTAAGTGAAAGATCTTTTATTTAAAGGAAATAAAAAGAAAGAATAGAAAAGAAAAGTATAAAACAGGATTTAAATTTAATAGCCTTCTAGATACTATAAGGCGATTAACAATAGGCAATTGTGTTTAAAGTTAAACCTATTGGCTAGTTTATATAGGTCAGGTATAGCAAATGCTTGCCCTTTACAAAGATTATTAGACTTTAGAACTTAGAAATATCTTTAGATATAACCAAAGGAAAGAGAGCACTAATAACCAGACCGTCAATAGCTATATATAGCCTTTAAATCCTAATAATATAAAGCTAGTATTTGCCAAAATATTATTTACGAAGTCAGCTTTCACTTTATATTATTTACAAGAAAAGAATAAAATTTATTAAAAAAAAAGATAAAATGTATAAAAGAGAAAGATAAAGAATAGTTTTTATTAATATTGTTAAGAAAAAGATAAATAAAATATAATTTTATTAAAAAAATTTTAGGTAGAAACAACTTTGCTTTTTTAAAGAGCAAAAAACTACTCTTTTTATAGCTTTTTAGACTAATATTTGATTGGTTTTAAGCTACCATGTGTTGTAGAATATTTTTAGATAATCTAAAACATTTAGAAGGTCTTGG